GTGCGGCCCTGGCTGCGCAAAGTTACAGCCAGTGGTCTACCGAAGATCTACTGTCCCAGCGGTCACTTCTGCATGCTGCCCGGCTCCAAGAGTCCCTGGGCTCTGATGGAGTCAGAGATCGCGGTCATCCTGGGCGTGCAACCACCAAGTGCTTCTAATTCCTCCTGCCTACCCTATGAAAAGCGTCCATCTGCCGGCCCTGCAAACCTTGCTCAGGGCGCTGGACAGAACATTTCCCTGGAGACCTCCTCCTCGTCAAACTGCGAGCCTCAGCGCGCCAAGCGAGCAAGATCGGGCGAGGAAGTACAGGATCATCCGAACAACAAACCGAACGTTAGTAGAAGTAATTTGGAGTCAACACAAGCCCCAAAGGTAGTTGCTGTTGCTGCTGCTGCTACTGCTACTACCGCAACTGAGTCGGAATCGCCCTCATCACCGACGACAAAATCCGTCTCCCTATTTCCTAATTTAGGTAAAGTGGATGAACTGCCCTCCACGTTGTCGCATTCATCTGCTCAACAGACTGTCTGAGGTGTCGGTCAACGGCTCCGGACACAAATTCCCACTTCCCTTCCCTTTACTGCTGCCCTCCCGCCCTGAAGCATTTAACAGCACCGGTTTGTTTCCTTTTTCTCCCTTATATTGCTCCCCCATCAGCTTATATAGCTCTGACTACCTAAATTTCATCGTCTTCCCCTTCTCTTCCGCCTCCTTCTCATTTCCTCCTGCTTTTCATTTTGCTTCCCTTCTGCTGCAGTTCTGTTATCCATTATTACCCTCCTATCGGTCAACTGCATTTAGTACACACGGGTATTGCTGCATAACAGGTCGTACCTTGAATGAGTTATATGAGATTTATCTGAACAATAGACGCATAAATTTCTGCCCTTACTCCTTCTGCCAATGTCTTGCTTGGTTTCGCTGGGTGGAGGATTTCTCTAAAATCAAAACATTGCCGAAGCCTTCAAGCCAATGTACTCTTAACTTTATGTTACGCAGAATAAATTGCAGTTAGCAACTTGTGGAGACAACTCCAGAGTATTCTAACTAGAACTCCGGAAAAGGTAGTGCTCACTTCATTACGCTGTGAAGCAAGATTTTTCTGCCCCCGTGGTTAGGCAGCTGCATGGAATACTGTTGGACCTCAAAGTATCTCTATCCACTTTTAAATGCCTCGATTGAGATACCTTTTATTTTTGAAATACAATATGGATAACCTCTAACAGATAATGAAAATGTGCTGGTGGCTTTACAGTGATTCGTAGGAGACGAAAAGAATAAATTTACTCAAGTTTCTCCCTACTTACTGTTCAACTTATATGGCTTTTTTCATTGCGTCACTGAACGGATGGTGCATAACTTAACACCTATTTGCTGAAACGAAATAGAAAGCTGCAGTAATTCAAGGTTCTACAGTCCCGGAGGGTTTGATCTGATTACCACTGTGTTTGACCATCCACTTCGATGAAGTCTACCATATACACAAAATATGTTT